GAGACGATGGTAGGGAGCATTCCTCCCCAGCCCCCACTGGTCTCTGCTCTGGCTAGCATCTCACTGGCGTTTAGGGTTTATGTCGCTTCACATCAAGGTGTCACACTCCTGACCTGTTTCAGCTGCTGTCGACCTTGACCCCCTGGCTGAGGTCATGTCCATCAGGTGTTCCTCTTTCCCCCTTTCCATTCTGTACCCTTCGGAAGGAAGTCACCGAGCACAGCCACACATAAGGAGTGGGCGGTTCTGCTCGCCTCCTCCACGCTGTAGGATCTACAGAGATCACTTGGAATTCTTCATAAAGGGAGGTTCGTCTCCTCTCCATTTATTCAGTGATTCACGCATTTATTTATAGCCTAGGGACTCGCGGAGACTTATTTTATACTGTCAATTATAATGCAATACTCATACTTAGGTAGTGTCTTGCTCGAATTGTTTCAGCTTGAGTCATTGGCAGCTCCTGTGCCCCAATGATACAGCCTCATCTTGTAGTTGTGGTTTTTTTTTTTTTTAAGCATTTCCTTACTTTCTGGTGCTGTAAGATACTCCGGGCCCATCTTGTGTATTTCCTGCCTCAGTCCTACAGCCCCTGTTTCTCCAAGGAGTCCTGCTAACTATGTTTCATATGACAGAGACCTCCACCTCCCCTGCCCGAGGCCGGCCACCGCTGCAGAGGGACAGGCCTGATACTCAGGACTATGTGTCCAGTGACTCCGGATCCCAGCTCTGGCCAAGTTCCCTTACCTCCTTGAGCCCCCATCTGTGAAATGGGTTGAAAAATGCACACTTTTCAGGGTTGCCGTGGGGATTAGAAATAATGTACATAAAACAGGACAGGGCCTGTTTTGGCTCAGAATAGCTGACTCTCACGACAATAAGTCAGCACCTAGCAAACAGTGTGCTTTTTCAAAATGCTGAGTTTAACACTGGAGGGAGCGCATTGGTAACTAGCAATTAGTGTTACTGGTTGATTTCAATACATCCCTTCACCTCTGGGTTTGTTAACCCTTTGAACTTTTCTGATAATTTTCTTTTTTTTTTTGCATTTTGCAAAATATCATACAGAAAATGTTACTTGAAGGCATGCTGACCATCCTCACTAGTGAAGAAAAAGGGAATTTCAATTTTGAAATGTGTTACCTCACTTTGTAAGGACCGTCACAGAAGTACAGGTTGTGCTGTCGTAGTCGGTCCCCGAGAAAGTCAGTCACCAAGACAAACGTGATGCTGGCACTCTCATCTTCCGTCAGCTCTCCATCAGATTGGTGCTGGAAGCGCTCTGGTGCGGTGTCGCCAAGACACACCAGCCTGAGGTTGCTGGCAACTGATGAACTCAGTTTACTGTTAGGACCATTACGGTTGCAAATGATGAAAATCAATGTAGTCTGCCCCCAAAAGAAGGATGCTGGAGCGAGTCACAAAATCAAAGGGAGGACCAAAGAAACCAGGGCCCTGGGGCTTAGAACCACAGCCTCCGTGGCTGTCTTGACCGCACGCACACGTGCACACACCTGCCCTAATGCTCTCTTACCTGGTTGTGATTCTCTCTGAAGGTGGGCAGCGCGGTCCTGGGATGTCCAGGATTACCAGACAGGTTCACCCCGCTACACAGCCTGCTGACCCGCTCTTGTGTGGCCGACAAGTGGAGAATGTTTGTACATGTTAAACGGTTAAAAGAAAATGGAAAGGAGAATTGTATCTTGTGACATGAACATGGTATGAAACGCTCGCTCCACGCCATCCAGTTTTACTGCTACAGAAACACACTCACTCGCGGGGCTGCAGAGACTGCCTGTGACACTCATCACCCCACTGCCACCCAGCACCCTGGGAGTCGTGGTGACGCAGCTGTAACTCCACCGTGTTTCAATTGCCACTGGCATCTACAGATCACGACACTGTTTCTTATTACCATTATGCCAAAATAAGGAAAGAAAAGTGGACTTTGTCTACTATGAAAGCACAGTAGGATGTAGATTATTCTATCAGGTTGGATGACAAATCACCATGCTTACCACGCAGTGACACACATCTGTGCTACAGGAATACTACGCAGTCTTACGTTTCCAGACTGAGCGCTTACAGCAGTATCCCCAGTTCACAGAAAAGCAAAGGTCAGAAGAATCAGAACATGCAAACTAGAACATCTCATCAAGCAGAATTTCTGCACAAAAAGGAAATAAGGCTGCAAACTAAGTTACCGAAGGGCTCATTTGTTAGCTAACCAAGGACAACTATTTATCAGTGGTGAGTTAACGAAATCATACTTTATTGCAGCAGCTAAAGCAAGACAATGGGGTTCACCAATACCCCAGGGATTATGCAGGGCTCAGAGTCTCAGAGCAGAGCAGGGCTGGGAGCCCCACAAGCCAGAAAGGATCCAGGGGACAGTCCCAACCACAGGGGATGAGTGGGGAGGCTGATGACAGGCCCCGGGGGCCAGAGAGGGCCAGCCCCGTGAGTGGGTCTCAGGGGGTGTGGGAGCGAGTTTTGAGGCGCTTGCCTCTTTCCCTGCGGGTGTTTGAGGTTTGCTTTGCTAGCCAAGCGGGGTCACTGGAGAGTGTGGGCAGAGGGCGACCAGCGGAGGGGCTGAGCACCTGGAGGGCTCCGCAGATCTCACGTGACAGACGGTTTCACTGGCGATCGGCTGAAGCCAGGTTTAGAAGGAGATCGCCCCTTCTGGGACTAGTAATATTTGTAGTGCTTAATTCCAAGCTTCTGTAGAACTTGAAGGATCTTTGAGGAGAAGATACAAGGGCCTGTGTGCTGAGCGATTGTTGGTGAGGAGCCGAGGGGAGGGAAAGAAGCTGCCTTCAGTTACGCCTTAAGGCTCTTCCTCTGCGGAAGCATAAACC